CTTTAAGTCTTTCACAAACAAATATAGATGAAACTGTGAAAGTAAACTATGTATGACCGTACCAACATAAAAAAAATGAAGAGGACTAATGTCGACCGCAGTTATGCCGCGAAATTCAAAAAGACGCTTAACATGCTTCATATCTCCTATGGAATCTCACAGAGCTTTCAAAATGGGTAGTGGAGCTCTTTTCTTTTCCTCTTTTGTGGTCATAATAAAACATGTCCTTTTCATCAAACAATGTCTACTTGGGTGTTCCTCAGGGATCGATTTCAGCTCCAACATTGGTCTCATATATATTAGTGATATTTTTACCACCAAGATAAATCCAACACCTAGCTATACAGCTGACAGTACTTTACAAGCAGGCACTTCAAGTTCGAGGTCTATATGCGACCTTCTTTCTGGTGAGAGGCCCTGCACCGCTCACATCAGGCTTGTATGTACAGTGATCGGTGACTTGTCGGTGACTTTACCTGGGATCCAGCTGTGTGAATTTCGTCCATATAGCGCAGCAGAGTGAACGGAATGTGTGTGGCGGGAACTTGGACACGATCATTGACAGGTTGGAGACAGCTTTTCGAACAGACCCCTGTTCATCCATCAATTACCCACCTTTAACTGAATGGTCCGATAACCGTACGTCTATGTACGAGTATTTGGTGTGCTTGGAATGATTATTAGCGAGCTGTTTTCTGCTCGAAGATTTTTGTGGTATATCAAGCAGGGTTCTAGCACCGAGACAATCATCTGGACTGGTTGGGTTCTGAGCATGACTGGTAAGTAATATTTTCCTGCTAGTGGGAGCTGGAGTTATTGTTGGCATCATTTGTGCATTGCAACAACTGTTGAAAAGAAGCTGGGCAGTCGGTTTAGAACTATATAGTGATATTCACCGTTCAAGCTACTAGCATCCGAAAAAGCCTTGCCTGAATATCCTGCAAGTCTTGTGAGGTCCTATTCTAACTTTTTTAATTAGTGACACTCCCTTAACGGGTGATCGATGATGTGGCGCTCTCATAATATATCAACAGAGATTCTCTCCATGATGACATAACATTCTAGGCGCACTCGCCAGGCCTTTGCTGTCCATTTCACCTCGATAATGAGGAACATCATACCAGAAGAGGCTGCTTTAGTTATAGAACTCAACCCGTCCTAACCTAGCGTAAATACCTAGTTTAAATCATACATAGAATTAAAAGCGTTACAAAAGTTAGAAATGCCTTCCGAAAGAGGGTGTGCATTTTCAGATTGTGTAGTCATATAAAATAGTTGTTGCGGTATACGATTTCTTTGGTAGTCGGTTTAGAGAAGATTTTGTTGAATTTGATGAAATCAAATGTTAAACTGGCATCTTCTTTTGAGGAATACATGATAAGCTTCCTACAAGAGTGGCTAAAGCATGCCACAATCATCAAACGACTTTTTAAGGGGGTTTACCTCATTTTCTTTGATCTGCTGTATACGCATTGTTCCTCATTATTCCATGGCTCAGTCCTAATCACAAATTCCCTAACTTCCAGTCGGAATTTGCATATTCTTGGATTTCGCGCCGAGGCTAGAGTTCGCCTTTAATTGAAATTTGAAACTGTGCTCCCGCTAGCTTTAATTGCTTGATTTATAGGCCAATTTGAGGATATATTATTCGTTTGAATGCATTCATCTTAACGTCTACAGTATTCGGAAGGAAGTTGAGAGCACGAAAACAATGCCAGATTTAATTTAATAATTAATTAAAATTCAGCCTCCGCCTCTGGATGCGCCGCGGGTGCATTCCGTGCATAACCATTTGGTAAGAGAGGCATTTAAATATATACAGTATGCTAACACGGGCATGACACAGCTAGCTGGAGCGTCATAGTTAGTGTTGCCCTCTATTTATGTTAGAAAAATGTAGAAGCCGGCTGGATAGCAAAGCTCTTCACCGCGTTGCCAGTTCCTTGAGTTAAGATGTATGTAGAAAATATGCGGTTATTTATCTCTACGCCCAAATGATGGTTTTATTTTGAGCATTCACATTTTTTAATTGTGAATTGTGTAGAATCTGTTCACAAACGATGTCGGATCGGACCTAATGTCGCTTCATTTCAGGTCGAAATGAAAGTTCAGGATCGCCACAAATTCTGTAACATTACGTCGTTGGTTCGCTTGTCAACACTGCATCTGGTACACACATACATTCCTATGCAAAGTTTCCACCTCCATGATCTCAGAATAGCGATTTTGATCAATACCCATCTAGCGTCTATTGGGGAGTGTCGTCCTGCTTCGAAATGGTTTTCGCCTAAGTCGAGGCAAACTGTAACAATAACTCACTGAAAGTGGTCGTGTGGCGTTTTTCTAAGATGTAAGTTTCACAAAGCCTTAATCAGATCAACACGGTTATCATTATATTCCCAACATTCTTGTAGTTATCATGCTACTTTAGACGCATGGGCAGGTATAAAAATAAAGTTCTACAAGCTCTAAAGTATCATGTCGTTTTGTTTAATAGTTATAATCACACGTTGCAAAAATTAGTGTTTTGTTTGAAATTTCAGTTGTTAGAATAAATGCAACACAAATCCACATAAATTCATCATACAGGCGACTGCTACTTTTAAACGTTATTTTATGGCTGTGCTAAGGTGCAAATAAGTTATACAACATGGTAGGTACATACCATACCTTATCAGAACTGCTTAAACTTCTAATGCCGCATGTCGTTTCTGCAGAACCCCTAGTGCATCTCCTGTGTCACTGCGAAGGCCTGGCAAGGCTACGGCTCCAGATAAATCCAACAGCTGAGCGCTACATGCAAGACACTCTGTCAAGGCTATAAAGCTATATAGATCTATTGCCAACCTCTTTCATTTGTAATCTGTAAGTGACATAGACAAAATAAATACCCAGTAATAATGGATGTATCACTATATAGGACCAGTCCTACAATTTAGCACAGTACTGTCACCTGGATTCAGTCTGGATGTAGTCTTCCAAAGTCTAGGGGTGCCTTTAGATGTAGATGTACTGGCTGCTTCTTGCTTGATGGAATGGCAGACCGCTGTAGCGTTATAGTGATTACGTATACATGTGATTTTCAAGCGGTAGCGTAAATGGCTGTGCAGCAGCTAGATATATTCGTCTATCTTGCTAGATAGAGGCAAGCAAACTATTCACTTCCTTTAGGCTTGTGTTGGAGTTCATGAAATCGCAATACTCAGAAACACATCGCGGATTACTCCCAATCATATTATGATCCATTTCCTCTTGAGGTGCCTCATTTAAGGCTACCTGTATCTTGTGCCGAAGTGCCGTTGGAGTGTGTGCAGGATGGGATGATTTCAATGGGTGGAGGATCGGGATATCTAAGGGCCTAGGCAACAAATCGACCAACTTAATTCTGGATATATGTGGTCGCGCATTCTCATGTTGGAAAAGTGTTTTGGTAAGCGTCCGTATATAAGTCAAAATATGTGGTACCCAAACCTTCTAGATGTAATGCACGGCGGTCATGTTGCCTCTGATGAATACCAAATAATACCTGCTTCTGTAAGCAATGGCGCCTAATACCATAATTCAATCAATACGTTTCTATATAAAATTGATCTCGTCTTTAACCTCGTCGTCTTCTCGTCCTTGCACGGCCAACATGCTTCCCCAAACAGAATCTGAATTCAGCACTAAAGACATTGGTGTCCCACATGAGGACCCACTCCAGCCGTTATTTGCACCAAGTCACTCGATCTCTTCCGTGCCTAGGTAGGACAAGCGGAGTACAGTATAAATAAGTCCAAAAATGTTGATCAGGCGATAATCGCGTTGTAATAGACTTTTGCTTTTCAAACCATTCGTCCGTAATTGCCCTTGTGAGCGAGAAGCCTGCAGCAATCTTAATGTAGGGCCGTTCTTCTGACACGCCATGTACCTCTAACTCCTCGTGTACGACCTTTCCGATTCCATGCATGACAAAATACTACCACCGTATGTGCACCATGGTGGTTCTTTCTCTAAAGGACCATCTAGTCTCACACAAGCCCATCATTCGCTCCCTATCTAGCTCGCTAAGATGCTAAAAATGTTCACGTCTTCTCACTCCAGGCATAATGAACAACACAACACACGCAAACGGAATACTGAATAACACAACAAAACACAGCTATCGCTTACTTACTTTTTCGTAAGAACAGTTATAATAACCGCTTTATTAATAAGGCTTATCGTTTTTTTGTCCTAACCGAAACAAACATATATCTCACTCAGTATATACGTTATAAAAGTTGGTTTTGCTTTTTATTAAAAAAACTTCAATCCATGAACATTGCAATTCATTTTGCACCAATCGTGTATTTAGCTTGTGTTATCGCGTAACCACAATTTAAGCTTTCGTATTGAATTGTATATCGTCAAGCTTATACATATTCAAGAGAAACCGAGATATACTTCTCTATTCATTAGATAATCAAGCTAGATCTCATTGGTATGCATCCCTACGACCTTTACAAATAGTTCACCGAGCCTATATCAGAATTATTATGTAAATTGTTTAGTAATGGCGTCAACGATTCATCGTCAGTTTCTAAGTTCTCAACGAGACTGCTTTCAGTGTGTGTCACGTACGAGTAAGTGCAAAGACAAATAGGACCTCTATTCTTGAGTTTGAGGCAGTATAAATTGTGAGAGAAAGTGTCAGAAAGTGGGTGTGGCCAGGAAATGCAGTATCCTTGGAATCAATTCTACCGAAAAGTGATTTCTCTTAGTATCGACCAAGAGAAACTGGGAAAATTAGTAGAAAATAGCGCTATATAATCTAAAAATTGACGTGTTTGATATTGTTTTGTTGTTCCTGCTAAACGTATTGCAAAAAATGGTTAATTTCAATCAATTGATGTACTGGAACGGTATTATTAACGAGGATGTAGAGGAGGCACCTGAGGAATGGGAGATTGGCAGAGATATTCTGGGGTACGGAGATCCTTTCATAATTTCGGATCGAAAATTTGTACAGATGTTTAGATTGGTGTATGAATTTTTTTTTATATTCCAACTACCACGAAGGCCTAAGGCCTAAGCACCCATTGGGTACCGTGGGGCTATGGGGGATACATGGGAAAGGGGGGACGCCACACGGACTCTTGCGAGGGAACACGTGTGCATGCAACATGCACACATTCTGGCTCCGCCTACGAGAACCGCCGGGTGGTACCTCCGCGTTCGACAGTCAGAGACCTACGGACAATCACAACATCCATAGCCAAGAGAAAAATTTCTCCTGGGATGGGACTCGAACCCGCACAGCGCACGGCGACTGATCAGGAGACCGAAGAGTCTACTACTGCGGCCACCACTGCTGGAGATATTGACTCCATTCATACGTCCACCCTCACGAGCTTCTGCACTTTCGATCAAAACAAAGGCAAGAGTCCTAGATTTAAGATTTAGTCATTCTAAAACAGTATCCTTTAATCTACGATTGAGTTTTCCCTGGTGCATTTAGGGCTGCTCTCGGAGAAATTCAATCATTTTGTCCTTTCGTTCATTTGTAATGTGCTTTTTTAAGTTTTCAGCTCCATAGATAAAACTATAAGGAGGAAATTTTGAACAAAATCTTTGTTTAGTTTTTGACTGTCAAAATTATCTCAATTTTGATTGGTTTAACACGTTTACTCAAACCTGGCAACCCTCTGTCTTGATTTCCTTCTCGTTTCTATCAAGTCTTTCAAGAATACAGTATTTTCGAATCGATGGAAAAACGGGGGGTGATTTTCTATTAAAGTCAAGAACAGGGGCACAGAACTGGGAAGTGGTTTCTTCCATTAGGCTTTTGGCCGCCGCTTTCAATGTTTACGAGAGAGAGATGGATGCATCACCTTGAAATACGTATGTTGTCCAGTTATAATATTTAGCTGATAGACTTTACTGATAATGAGTATTAAATATTCGGAAGTATATACGTATATGTATAAACTGTAAATCCTTGCTACTTCTCTGAGCATGCTTGTTGATGAAATCAATTTCCAAATGATAGTAGACAGAAGGCGTCTGTTTTATATATCACGTTGCCCCTTTTAATATTCAGTCCATATGAGAGGTTATTGCTTTGGAAAATGCAATTGGGTCGACTTGTCAAATTTCTATTATTCCAGATAATAATACTGGCGATGCACCTCTTTCATAAATATCCAGAGGCGTGGAAGTAATGCTTTACTTTAAAAATAAGTTCATGCATTAGATACCATTATCAAAGTAGTAATGTTATTATTTACAATGACTACAAGCTACATGTAAGCTAGTCAGGCCTTGGTATAACACTCTATGGCACGTTTGCTAAGTATGCTTATTGGAGAACATTGTACAGAATACTTAGAAAGGACCGCGACTTATTTTAGAAGGCATGTTTTCTTCACTATATATGGCAATCATATTGAACATCTTATATTAAATACGACTGTTTTGGTGACAGCAACTGTCAAAAGGTACTTGTCATATAAGAATAAGATTCTTCCAATAATTTCATTGCTTAAGATTTTTTTACTAAATTAAACCCCGCAATGTATATGAAACATGAGCATTCTGTAACAACGTCCTTGACTCCTAAAATGTCCTTGGCAAAGAAAATCTTTGAAGATATCCTCCATTTTTTGACATGATGGCCTTCCGATGACTTCCCAACTAGCAAAGTAGTGCTATAAGCTTTTGGTAAAAAAACCGTTCAGCCATAAAAGCTCTCTATTGTTGTGGCCTGAACACCAAAATGCTGGCTTAATGTTGAGTGGAATGCAAATTTGCTTTCTGCAACATATTTGCTCTAAAATGAGGTGTTTAAAATATTCTTATAGCATAGTTGCACAACACCTCATAGGACAAACTGATGCATAAACGTTTATACAACTATTTTATACGGCACATTTGCAGGTTAGTCAAAATGGTTGTGTTGTGGTATCAATGGTAACGTTTATAAAACAAACCCGAGCCTTGTTCTTTTGCTGTGCAAATTTACTACTTTAGCCAACAAATTGCTCCCAACGGAAGCACTTATACAACTGTCGTTTAGTAACTGCTAAATATGTTGGTATACAACTTCACCATAACCTAACTTTCTGCTGTCATATTTTAGTTAAAATGCCATAACCAATGTTTTAAGACAAACAACGCATGCATATTGGTTCAAAATGTTTTATCAACTGTTCAAACAGAAGATATAGATCTGGTACACATTCTGGGTGAATCATTCGACTCTGTCGATATTTCATTTCAGACATTTGTCAAATTGTTGTATAACACCTGCAGGCAACACCAAAATATTCGAATAACCTAAAGACAACATGGATGATGCCATGATTATACACAACCACCCGCCATATTGGGCAACCATTTATTCCTCTATTTGATATTAAATAATTATGTTTCAGATCGAAATTACAGATATAAAGTGATAAATATTAGTGTAATTGTGTCTAAATCTATACATACTTTTGATCATTATCAAAATATGAATCAAATACGAAGCCCGTAGAATTTGCGTAACTACTTTGCACGATAATTACAATAAAATTTGCTGCGCAAGTAATTCAATAGCCCTATATCATACTGTAGAAGTTTATCATATACCTGTGTATGAAATTCACAATGGCCGATATATAAGTAAACAAGATGACTGTATTGTGTTAGTTATACAATACATAAGAAATAGTTTGGTTGCAATAAAGTATAATCACGTAACAGAATAGTTGTATAGTTGACAAAAACTGAATCTTGCACTGACGCAAATGTTCTATAGTGGCTGCAAGAGGCTTACACTTTTGTTGTATAACTGTTACCTGCAGCCCTTATACAACCTCTCAAATGACTGAAGTGTCCTATTAGGTGTGCCCATTCCGCTTGTATAGCTGTTCTAACAGGGTTTTGCCAATGTTCTTACAGTATACAATGCTGTGTAAGGAATACTGTATAATCATGCTTGCAACTATAATAGGAGTGATAATTCTTAGTTGGGTTATCACTGATGCCACCGGAACCAAGCTCATGAAAAGTTAAGGTCACTACTATACTACTAGGCAATGCGAATAAAACATTACATTCAAAATTTTACACGATTAGTCTTGTGTAAGACTTACTTGTGTCAATGTCAGCCTGATGATGCTCGGATGAAAATAGAACGCCTCACCTCAAATTCTCATATATTACAATAATAGTAATTGCACTGCTCCATCGAATAGACAGTTGCGAATGTTTCTTTTTTCCAGAAATCCTGGAAATCTCCGTTAATCAGGATTTCCATTTCATGGTCACGATCAGGGTAACAATTACGGGTCGACCTCCACACTAGTGGAGGATAACTGGAGCAAATCTCACACGTATACGAAGAAAAGTGGAACACTTCGTTATAAATATGTCAAGAACGTCTATGGCACTCAAAAGCGGACTTAGCGCTCCAGCAGCCGTTCCTGGGAAACAGTGGAAGCGAAAATGAATTCGTTCGTTGTTTGTTGGACTTTCAAAGAAAATTCATTTACTCGTTGGACGATAGGGGATTTCTTTTAATGAACTTTGTTAGCTGCCGATATATCATTTATTTGGAGTTAATGGAATATGAGAGATATAGTTAAGCCAATTAAGTTTAAATCCTAGAACGGAAGAGAGAGTACGGAGTTATGACAACAGGATTTCCGGAGTAGACATAGAATGACATTCAAAAAGCTCCTAAAAGATATTATAAAAACCATTCTTCATAATCTTCATTACATTTCGTCACAATCTTGTTGTATCAAATACTGTGAATCTGCGAACCACAATATAGCCTTCCAAGTTTGGAAAACTACAGAATACTGTCCAAACACCCGTATGTGGAGTAACTGGGACAGCGAGAATTTTTATACTTTAAAATGTTTACAAATCAAGTTGTGAGGGTGGTAAGTAATTCACTATCGGTTAATTAATGAGGCAATTACTGCATATCGATAATTAAGCTCAAGCATGTCTTGAGAAACGTACCTAAACAAAACTGGACAAGGAATTCATAGATCATATACAAGTAGATGAGTTATTAACCATTGCAAAGGAGGGCACATGTTACAACAGCAGAATCTCACGTGAATGATGTTTTTTTTACGTGAATTGTGCTACCTGTCGAGTAATAGGCGGAGTCTTCACATTAATAGAACTTACGCAAACGTTTTGATGTCGTTATCCTAATGATAACCTACGTCATCAATTCATAGAAGTTCGTCACTACATTTTCAATATTATCCTTTATTGCTGTGTGAAGTCATTGTTCAGCATACTTGTTTCTGTACGATTAATATTTTTACATTTATTTTTTGCACTAATCTCATCATAGTTACATGTTGCTTAAACTTAAAATATGCTTGTATTGGCTTCGCTTGTGCCAGTTGATCATATATTTCTTTTGCAGTCTATTAAATCATTTCCACCATCCTTTTTGAGTTATTAGAATATAGCGGATGCAGTTAAGCCAGTTCAATTAAAAGAATTAGGTCGGAGCAAGCAATAGTCGTATCACAAATTCAGCTGTGCATCAGAGAGGCAGTGGGAGATTTTCCATTAAGATATGCTGGAGCGTATCTGCCTCCTCGCGTTTAGTGGTAGTCCTTCAAAAAAACGCTTGGTTGACCAGCAAAGCAAGCAACGTCCTTGATGTTCAAATCATTAAGCTAGGTTCGACTTCACACCAAATGACCCTCACTTGACTGTAAAATAGTAGTTGCAAGGTTTCAATGCTAATTGCATTTTCTTCTGCCCATGTCGCCGTTGACCAATTTGCTATACTATTTCAGACGTGTGTAAGATTTGTTTTTGGTAGCTATTTGATTCAAAGTAAGACTGATAAGATACATGACCCATATTATGGATACATTTCTGCAAAAGCATGTTTTAACAATTTGTTTAAGATACACCTTTACGTTTAGTGATTATCAATTACTTGTGTAACTAAACTGAATCCAAATTCAAGATAAGATGTAAATAATAACAGTTAGCGCGTGATCTCTCGGTAACAGGTGGGGACAACGCCTCTTATTGGTCAATTCGCCATCAAATTTCAAGCGGTCGCCTGGCGGAATAATGCGCGGGGCAGGGGCAGGCCAGGCAGAGTTGCATTCAGGCCATCGACCGTCGCGTGTAACACTGCGTGCTCGTGTTTTCGTATTCACCTTGTTTGGTTGTTGTTGTTGTTGTTGTTAAGTGTATTTGAGTAGTTTGTTAAGTTT